TAGTCCATTGGAACGCATTAACCAGGTTTTAATGCGTTTCAATGGGCTTTTTAATTTCGCTTTACGATGTTTCCGTATAGCGACGTTAATCCTGGAACGGATTAACGTCGCTATATGGGGCACCACTGTAATTTTGTTGATATACAGTGTGTAGTGCAGTAGAAGCTGTCTTGCTCTGATGAGTTGTCTTGTTTGCATGTGCCCTATCACCCCATATTTATAACTCTTCAACTTGTTTTCACTTTTCCCTAATTTGTAAACAATCTTATCACCAGGGTCTGCAAATTCTAGGGGCCTGGAAGTCCAACAATATTTGTTCAATAGAAAAATCTATTGTTCCTGCAGTCTTTATTGTTCCAGGGGTCTGTAACGTAATGTCTTACTAGCTGCCATTAGTTAAATTTACATCATTTTTATTACTACCAGTTTTGCAGAACTTTGAACAGTAAGACTGTAAGAATAGGACCTTACAACATCAGGACATTCTGGCACCAAGGATCTAGGACATTAAACCATTGCAGTATTAGATTTTTATAATATCCAGTAGAGTGTGCTATAAGACTTACAAATGACAATTTAATATTTTAATAGTGCAACATAATGCATACTCAATACAATGTATTTTCAAGTCAACCCTTAGTTTACTTCCATGCAAAACTGGCAGGCATGAATGACCTTGTTCCCCGGCTTGTTGGAAAGCATCCTGTTGTTTTAAAACAACTAATGTAAACTATTCCTCCAAGCCATACTTTTAAATGTACTTTCATTTTCAGGGCAACTTTCTGCACCCCGTCTTAATCATTTTTAATATTTTGTAGCCACAGAATTTCAAATATTGGCAGAAGTATTGGGAACAAAACAGAAACATTGCAGAGGTCTTCTTTTTTGAGGTTTTGCTCAAAACTAGAATAATGATAGAAGTTTTAATACAAAATACTATTTTTTTAAAAAAAATAAGTAAAATATTTTTAATGCAAGCCATTAAAAGACTATAAATACTGAGTCATTATTTATTCTTAGGAATATAATTTCTTAGGATTTCCTTTCCTTTCCTCTTTTAAAACACTTTAAACAAAATTAGCAGCAGATCCTCTCCTTTGCTTTTCTTACACAAATCATGAAACAAAATAATATGAAAGAATAGAGGTTTGCAAAATTACGGTTCTATGAATGGCTTAGGAATAAAAGTGAAAGTTCAGAATCTGAAATTATTGATATTGCAGGAACTGGCTTGTTCAGAGATGAACTTGGATATGTAGCAGCTCTCAAGGACATTTAGAGCTATCTCTGACATTCTTCTTTGTTGTCTCTGTGAATCATGTATTTGGGTGTTTCTACACTTGCATAGTAGGGACGTGGTGGTGCTGCGGGTTAAACCGCAGAAGCCTCTGTGCTGCAAGGTCAGAAGGCCTGCAGTCGTAAGATCGAATCCACGCGACGGAGTGAGCCCCGTCGCTTGTCCCAACTCCCGTCAACCTAGCGGTTCGAAAGCATGCAAAATGTGAGTAGATAAATAGGTACCACCACAGTGGGAAGGTAATGGTGTTCCGTGTCTAAGTCGCACTGGCCATGTGACCACAGAAGATTTCCTTCAGACAAACGCTGGCTCTGCGGCTTGGAAACGGGGATGAGCACCGCCCTCTAGAGTCGGACATGACTGGAATAAATGTCAAGGGGAACCTTTACCTTTTTTACACTTGCACGAGACCTCATTGAAACATTCTAGATCTCAAAGGAAAAAGACCATTAGAGGGCAGCCCATCTACTGCACATGACCCTGCACCTAATAGTTATCTCTCAGTTTCTTTTAGTTTCTGCTGAGAGAACTTCTTGGAACACATCTCTAGGGCAGTCCATAAAAACTTACCTTTGTTCATAGTCACTGTTGCCTTCCTCCTTCCTTTGTTATATTCAACCTTTTTGTGAGTAGCTCCTTAAATTTTTTGTTGTCATTCATCTTCATTCTCTGGGGCCTTTCCATCCTTTTATGGCCCCAGTGGGCACTTTCAAGAAGTGCGTTCCATGTGCCAACAAAATCCCCCTCACTGACAGACATTCCAAGTGTTTATATTGCCTTGATGAGGGACACCAAACCTAAGACTGTCAGACATTCCCAGGTTATCTTCCATTTTTTGGGAGGCGTCTTTATTATTATTTATTTGATTTATATACCGCCCATCTGGCTTCCAGGGCCACTCTGAGTGGTTTACAACAGATAAACAAACAAAACCAAAGGTGTGCCATCGAATCTGAGAGCACAGTCCACGCAACTGACCACTTTCAAAGCCTCTTTGACACAAAGTCTTCTGCTTCTTCCATTTTGAAGAAATGTAAGAGACCTTACCGAATCTGAGTATTCCTTGGCTAAGAAATTGAAGCCCAAGCCCAGCCTATCAAAGGACAAATCACTGGCATCCAGAGTATTTAGATGAGCCGCTGACAGCTAGATCTCCTCCAAAATCTGCGGAGAAAGAACAAGATGAATTCACGTGCCTTGGATTTGTCTGCTTTGGAGGAAGAAACTCTGTGACTTCAGGACTCTTCCCCAAAGTTCAGCTCATCTGGAGAATGTAGTAGGCTTACTCAGGAGCAGACAAATAGTTAACCATCAGGGTTTTAAAGATGGGCGAACATATTCCCCCCATCCCACCCCTGTAACTATTAAAGGGGCTTGTAAACAAAATCAAGTTGCCTTATGAACTAGCAAAGAGGTCAGAACCTGACTCTTTGAAAGAAAAGTCTAGCAGGGCTGTTGCAGTTTCCATAGCCTTTCTCAAGGCTGTGCAATTTCCTTAGACACTATATATTGGACATCAAGGCTACACTTGATGCTGCGTTTGTGAGAGCAGTCATTTAATCTATGTTGGCATGGCATCCTACTAGCTGATAAGTGAGCTTTCCAGCCATCTACATGGGTGATTCACAGAGACCACAACAAAGAACAGATTAGTTACATATGACTGCTTCTTTGAGTGTACACTGTGAATTCCCACAACTCTCCCATCCTCCCCTCCCATCCATGGACAGTGGTGGACATAGGGAACTGAGGGATAGCTATTGAGCACATAGATATGCACAGTGAAGGAGGGGCTTCCATAACCGTCTTTTTCCTTGGAGCTATAGAATGTTCTGGGGAGGTTTCTTCCAGGTGCAGAAACACCCACATGAGTGAATTCACATAGCTCAAAAAAAAAAAAAAAAAAAAAAAAAAAAAAAAAAAAAAGTTGCAGGTAAGTAACCTGTTCTTACCTGAGCCAACATTCCTTCACACAGCAGGAGATTCTCATCCCGTCCTCCTCTTACAGTCACCTAGATTTGCTGCCAAATCTTTTCCAAACCTCTGGAGAAAATTTGGTGGATCTATGGTGAGTAGAGCGGGAAGTGGGAGTTTAGGCCAGTGGTGGAATTTACTGCCTGTTATTTATTGTTTAAGTGGTAAGATATGGATTGCTTGAAGGTAATTTTGTCCATAGTTGCTGTTAAGGGTTCAGGACAAAATCCTGTTGGGAATTTTACATAGACATAACACAAAGGCTATAACTTTTAAAGGTAAATTGGCTCAAGTTAAGAAATCACCATAGCCATTATCTTTTGTGCAAAAAGTCATACAACTCAGTACACAAAAAATGAAGTTTGCAGTGATTTCTTAACTTGAGAAAATTTGCCTCCAAAAGTTCTGTCGTTGTTGCTATGTCCACTGACGTAACTAACAGGATACTTAAATTTTTTTCTGGTGCAAGCAAGAAATTGAAGCCCAAGCCCAGCAGTTTTGGAGATGAAATTTTTGCGTAATACTGAGCCGTCATTTATTATTACGAAGACAGATGCAGTGGGTTTCTGCACTCCTTTTCTTCTCCTTGATGTGTCACAGTTATAGGATTGGAAGCTGTTGCTTAAAAAAACAAACCACCAAGTATTTTAAGCTTGAATATTAAACTAACCATACATTGTTCAAGCAACCCATCTTGGCCACAGAGCTTGTCCACATGGAGCATTTGTTCGATTTCCTTTGCAACCAGGATACTGATACTTTTCCTAGTGTCCACAGGATGCAGGACTACAAGTGGTGTCAGTGGAGTCAAAGCAGTACACAAAAACCTTGCTTTCTGGGTTGTTGTTTTTTTTTTTACACCAAGTGTGTGGACCAGCAAGGAGCAACTAGGGTCCACACAAACAAAGTCGGTTTGCTTGTGTGGACCCTAGTTGTTTCTTGCTGGTCCACACAGTTCGTGGCTGTGTCATTATATGACGTTTCCTTAAAAAGAACAATCTCTACTCTTCCCCACCTTAGTATCACTCCTGTATGTTTTCTTTGTTTTCTTGGGATATCAGATATTCCTGCCTTTGGTTTTTTCCCCCTTTCCTTTTTCCCTTTCCTTTTTCCTGCTTTTTGTATCTTTTTTCTTGTTCAGCATTAATTCAACATGTACAGTAGGTGCTGATTGAAAATAAATTTTGAAATATGTTGCAGAAAATCAGCAGCACTCAACCCTGTTTGGGGGTGGGTTTATTTTTTAATTTCATTTTCGTAAGATAGTAACTCTTCTTTCTTTCTATACAAGATAAATTTTAGAATGGGGATTACTTAGTGCATCCCAGTACATCTAGCAACAAATACCCTCTGTACGAGTGGATGGAATCTATTCACATCTGCATCAACAACAACAAAAATACCAGAATGACCGTCCTAGAACAACCCTAGAATGTCTGGGAACAAAATGAATGTGTGGATGAGCTCATAGTTTGAAGTTGAATGGTTTTACAGATTCCCTCTTCCCCTTGCAGCAGTCAGTTGCACCTCCTATGCTGTCCTGAAGGCTCTATAATCCTCCAGAGTAGATAGATGTTCTGGCAAGGGAAGGCAGAAGGGAATGTGTGAAAATTGAGTTTCCAAATGTTCTGCAGAATCAGAAGATGCTGCAAACAGCAGAAGACAAAAACTGGATGCAAGCCATTGTTAGAAGAGATCAGTTTTGCAGGTTTGCAAAAAAAGGAAAATGCTGTTGTGCCCTCTGGCAGATGTAGTTTTTTCAGGAGGTACCCTCTATAAAAGCCTAAAGTGCAATGAAACTACAAAGGAAAGAGCTGAATGCCAGTTAGTGTTTTATTTAAATTCAATCCTAATTTTAAAATATGTAGTATTGATTTCACTGATTTATAGTGAGCCTGAGTTTTGGGCTCCAAGGCCAGCTGTGTGCATGTATGAATAACTTTTAGGTTAAATCATTAGCCACAGTTAACTCTGACATCTGAAAATAGTTTGCTTTCAAGTTAATCATTTAAAGGTGAGGTCTGCTAAATGCCTGTAATTATTGCTCTCTGTATAAAGCTCTTCATGAAGAAAATAAAATCAGAATCCTAAAATTATCGACATAATTACCCTTTTCAGTCTGGATTATCCAGAAACTGCTGTAATTTTGGGCGCTCCAGACTTTAAAGGGTTCATTCTCTTTTCTTTAAGGACTCTGCCTCAACGGATGATATGTGGTGAAACTGCCATCTAAGCTGTGGAGCTTGCATCCATGGAAAGTGTACCCAACCCACAGTGATCCTTCTTCACATCCATCTTCCACCTTACTTGAAAAGATGTGTTGGCAAAAGTGACTACACGAGATTACAGCAGCCCAGCACCTAACCAAGAAACTGATCCTTTTTTTTTTGGGGGGGGGGGGAATCTGTAGAAATGATATTGAAACCATAATGTTGTAAATTGAACTCCAGGCGATTTTATGTTGTATGATTTTGTTTTGTAAAGTGCAATTGTGGTTGTACAAAATGCTTATTTAATATTGACCTGCTTTACATCACTTAAGGTTAGATGAAAGGCTTGGCTTGTTTAAGGCAACAAGTGTTTAGCCCTTTTTTATTTGTATTTGTGGTTCTGGATTGCTGGGAGCAGCAACCTAGCCAGCTAAAGCTCAGGAGGTGCATATAAATTATGTGAAAGATGTTTTATGTAAAGGCCGATCATAGCAACTCTAGTATGGAAAATAACTGGAATACAGTTCATTCTCCATTACTCTTTTTAATTGTTTCTTGTTTTGGAATTCCTGTGGGGTCTGAAACACCGATGAGTTATGTGAGAGATTCTACAAAAGAAGGGAACAGAATCGCCAACTTTGAAAATGGCCATAAATATAAATCATGGGAGTTAAAATGCCTTGATTGTGTGCACCTTTTAGAGGAAATCTTTACCTTCAATTAATTATTAGTTTATGTAAGGCTATATCTTTCAATATTTAGTAGGAGCCTACTCTGTTTTTATTATCCTGATTGGCTGGGTTGGCTGCTGTTCCAAGTAAAATAGTTTGAATTCCATTTTATCAGTAAAGCTTGATTCAACAGACAAGACATGTAACTATGTATGTGTAACTCCTTTCCCCTGTCTTTTGAAATGTTTGTAAATGAGATGTCATGTGGTTGCATATTTTTATCAACTAGTTGCCCATTTATGAAATGGGGGAAACTATTCACTGTTGCCCAAGGCACAGGCGGACTTTTTCAGTTGGTGTAATATGGTTTGAGAAATGGAATAATTTTACATAGGTTCCTTTCAAGTGTTTTGCTTTGAGAGAACCACATGAGCTTACAGCTTATACTTGCCTCTTGCTAATAAACTCATTTGTCAGAGCCTGACAATCTTACCTTTTATGGTATGTTTTTTATGATCCCCCTTGACTTAGAACAAAAAACTAGTGATTTATCAGTATGTGTGATTTGAGATGCAGCATGTTCAGAATATTTAGCTGTTGAGATTAAATTGCTAATTTTTTTTAAAAAATGAAAGTGATACAACTAATTTGACTTGACTTTTCTCCACTGACAGTACAAAAATAACTTTAAAAATCAGTCACGTGTTTGCGGAACTACTGTTTCATGCACCTTGTATTTTGTCTTTTTTTTAGTTAAGGATGTCGTATGATTGATATGTACCTTTCTTTAATCTCTCAGTCAGCAGATGCCCCTCCAAAGGAAAATCAGCAAAATATATAAATAGGTTGTAGCAATGTAGCTAGAATTTTTTAAGGTGTAAAATATACCTTTTTATAGGATGCAATGTACAATGCATTTTTCTATATCTGTCTTTTCCCCTAACTTTGAAATATACATTTGTGTGTATATATAGCCTTAAAACTATTGCAGAGTTAGGGAGTGTAGAACAGTGAAAAAGTAACTTAATAATAATGTCTCAGTTAAGGATAGCATTATACCAGCAAACACTTGATGGTGTTAGTCCTCTTGTTTGTGTGAGGTGCTTAACCTTAACATCATTGTATTCAATTGTACCCCATGGAAGCATGAATGAAGAAGACCTGAGCACTATTTGTATTTATAAATTTATAGCAAGTTTGGGTTTAAAGAGCCAATCTTCACCCTACTTACAAATAAATGCTTAAAATGTACAATGTTGTTGAGTTCAAACTATAAAGATGTCAGATGTACAGCTTCTCCATTACTTAAGGGACATGAATTTAAAATATGATTTGGTCAGCTAGTTGAGAACTTTAGACTGATATTAGAATTGGAACAAGAACTTTGCGCCTTTTTTGTCCTGTATAAACTAAAGTTTAGCTCTAAAAGTTGCAAAACATCAGATTGAACTATAGAAACAAAGATTTAAAATGTTTCAAAAATCATAAGTGGAAAGCCATATCTTTAAAATAATAATGCAAAGTGTCATAATGACATAGCACGTGTTTACTAAAGGATGCAGCCTTTCTTAAAAATTAAACCCATAAAACAGTTCTTCTGCTGTTGCTGCTGTTGCTGTGAGAAGGAGTGGGATTAAAAGGTACAGCAGTAATAAGTTCCCTTTGTAACGTTTGGCACTTTAAAGTGGTCAAAGCACTGTGTCAATTATGCCTGCTTAATACTCTGCTATTTTATTATTTTATGTGTACCAAAACAAAATTAACTTCATTTAATCACTGCATCACATACTCTAATAAGGGCGCTCATTCTTGTTCATTAGTCTGCAAAAAAGAAAGCACTTTTCATTTTTGCAACTTTATAAAAATGCTAAAAATGTTGGAAGACCTCAGGGGCAATGCAGCAAAGTTTTGAAGAATTGTGTGCTATTTATTTCCCTGACTGGAGGGAGAGCAGTGGATGCCTGTGTGCTAACAAAATAAAGGAATATGATGGTCTCAAATTTATCTGTAAGGTGTTAATATTGTGTACCTCTGCTTTTTACTGTGTAACAGGTTGTGCTCTGTGCATGTGTGTGCGTGCATGCACGCATGCGCACACTCATGCACGCAAACACCCTGTTAGCTGGCATTACATTTCTCATCTTTGTAGTATAAATTTATCAATAAGTTTAGAGAACAGTTAACATTACATACAGTGTTAATTCTCAGAGGAAAAAGCCAGTTGAAATCAATGGAACATACGTTACTTGTGACTAATGTCCCATTCATTTTCAGCAAGTCTACTCTACTTGCAAGTAGTATAGGATTTAATTCTTAGGGATTAGATAACTCTTTGAAGTAGTTTTATACAATGATAATCCCCACTTTCTTTACCTTTTTAAAAATAGTCAACATAGTTGAATTCAATATAATCAAAAGCCAACTTATACACCTCTTCTTTAAAAACATGTGATCCACTGATTTATATTAAACTCCTGTTGTATTACAGCTTTTTAGAGAACTCTCCTTTTTACATGGAGTATAATTGATCTGAAATATATGTTTGTGTTCCTCTTGGAATCTCAACATATTTTCCTTGGGTTAATGTTTGTGTAAATGTGTTTCTCTGTAGCATAAGAGGGCTACAATGTCCAAATTTCTCTTGCATAAAGTTACACCACATAAATCAGATGGTGTTATCCTCTGCCAATGGGGATATTTAATTCAATTTAATCTAAAGCCTCCTATTCTAGCCCCTTTTCAGGTACCAAGGCATCCTTTTTCCCTTGGAAAGTCTTTGGGAGTGTTGGGATGGGGGGGGGGAGTCTTTAATAGCCCAAAATTGCTACATATCACTGCTGCTGTGATTGGGGACTGCTACCAGTGATCTGCTGGCAATTTTTGGCTCTAAAAGGCTGCCCTGCAGCTTCCAAAAGTTCAAAAGGGGGGGTCCCAAGGAGTCTTGGAACCTGAAAGTAGGGAGTATAGGAGGCCTTCAGTTAATTTAAGCAGTCCCATTATTGGATGATGCTGTCTTAGAATCATAGAATAATGTTGTTGTAAGGGGCCTGTAAGGTCACTGAGTTCAACCCCGTGCTCAATGCAGGAATCCAAATCAAAGGATATGTAACAGGTGGTTGCCTAAATTTCTCTTGAATGCCTCCAGCATTGGAGCACTTACCACCTCTCTAGGTCATTGGTTCCATTGCCATTTGGCTCCATACCCTCTGGTTATACACTCTAACTTTACTCAAGAGGATTTTAGCCACTGTTTTAGCTACTGAAATATTCAGTATGAGAAAGTCAGTTTCATTTGTGCATTGTCCGTTTGCCCACCAATTCAGGATTTTGGCCTCATGGTTTAGAAACCGCTATAAAAATGAACCCCTCATCTCATTTGTAGTTTTGTTTTAATGCAGCAGTATGGTATCTTTGCTGCAATAACCTGGTTTCCTTTTTATCCTCATTCCAGTTTGTTTCAACTAAAGTTCAAGTATTAGAGAAGAAACTCTTCTGCATGTCATGTGTTTGTTTGAGGTCTCTGGTGTTGCTTTTCACTGAAAAGTGAAAAGTGTAGTGAAACTACACTTTTTAAGTAATAACTAAAATCGTAAGGGAAGTTTATCCCAGTAGGCCACTAGAGAAATGTACTGTATTTTTAGCTACATGACTGTGTCTTTGATCTAGGTGAAATTCGGTGATGGTGATGCTGTCCTTTCTCACTACTTCAAAAACTGGAGTAACTACACTAACTGCAGCTTTCCTTCTCACCATAGTTAGTATATCACTCTCCTGGTCGAGAGCAATTGGAGTCCTCAAAAGTGGAATGCATTTATATGCTGTCAGAATTCAGCAGTACTAAATCTGTAGGCATCATTTCTTTGCCTGTTTATTATTACATACAGTGCTGGGAAAAGTGGGTCCTTATAGAAGCAACTGGACATCAACTCCCATCCACCCAGGAGTTGTTCATCAAATGGGGGGGCCATCCTCTGGTACAGGTTTTTCCATTACATTACACTGTCTTCCTGTTTTGATTTTCAGTTGTTTGTACTAGACTTAGGATTCTAAGTTACACTGGATAGGCTGTTGGAAGTACAAGTTTGTATACTATCATTGGCTCAAGAAGGCAGTTCCTGATTGGATGAGAAGTATTCTTCTGCAACCAGATTTATTTTTATTCTGAAATTATTTGTGTTCTATACCCCAAGGCTCATAAAGACTATGTATATTGTGGACTCTGACTTATTTTCCTCTCCACTTCTGCCCAGAAGAGAGCTGAGTTTTAGATCATGTGAAATAGTTAACATTAAGGGGGAAGGGGGGAAATTGTCCCTGCAAGGCGCTATTGAAGGAAGTTGTCATGTAATGTTGCAGAAATTGTCATTTAAAATGCCCTGGCAGAGCATTCTCTCTCCTCCCGGCCTCTACTCAGGCAGGGAGTTGTTTCCCAGAAGCTTTTAGTGATAGCAAAGCAGTAAATATCAGCATTTTTACAAAATTGCCCACAGACAGTAGTTTTTATAACTCCACGGAGCATTGGCATAAATGGCTCTAAACTGCTTGTAGTGTATCCTAAGGGAACCATAGAGCCAGCTATAATGCTTCTTCCTGGTGGACAAGGCTTCTTCCTCCCACCCTAGGGATATTGTAGGCCACTTCCTTAATTTGAAATAATAGAAGAAATTAAAAAGACTTGTGAAGAGGTATATAGAGGGGAAAGCACAGGCATAAGCATATTCAGTGGTTCAGCAAACAAGTCATCTGCTCCATGTTCTGTTGCTCTGACCAGCAATTGTGAAAGCATAGATTGATTGGCAAGTCAGGAAGTGATTATACCCCCTTGTTTTATTCTCTGACTGCTGACAGATGGTGGTTGAGACTTCCGAACTTCTTAATTAGTATCTCCTCCTACCAATAGGTTTCTTTATTATCCCTTTATTCAAAATGTTTATACACACCTGTCTCCTCAAGAGGATACAAGAGAGCTTACAATATTAAAATATGTTTCATACTGAGGTCTGTATACTGCTGTCTCCAGTTCTCCATTATGCCAGGGTTAGACAGATGTTAGGACTACAAATCCCAGAATGCTTGACAGTCGGGCATGCTAGCTGATGCTTATGGGAGTTCTAGTCCAGAATTCTGAGAGGGAAGTGAACTGATTAACTTTGACACCTAGACACATGGTTTCTAATTACATACCTGCTAAAACACTGGTCTTGTAGAACAAAGTATTTAATAGATTTTTTTAAAAAAAAATTGCTTCTGTTAAGGATCTTTTTTTTCCTTTCAGGTATGGACAACAGCCCAATGATAAAGTCCATATTTCTACCCCAAACCAGCTGTCTTATTTCAGTAGTTTGAACAAAGTTATCTCATTTTACCCTTAGGTGAACTGCTCTGGAGAAATCTGAGACCTTGTTTGTCTTTCTGGTGACCCATGGTACCCTTAAAGCTCTCTTCTAGCACAATTTATTTTGAAGGAATCTGCCTGGTTCTCCTGCAGTCATGATCTTTGTCTTCTTCATGTTCAGTGGCAGTCCTGCTTTTGCACTTCTTTCACCTTCAGGAGTCATTTCAAGCCATGCCGTTATCTACCCGTAATATGAGATCACCTACATATCTGTGTATATCTGTATACGCTATGCAGGTTTCCCACAACCTCTAAGCTACCCAGCTGTTCTCAAATGCAGTAGAGAATGCTTCTTCCTATAGGGTTGAAATAAAACTTGGCTGCCAGCCTGATTGGGATTTTCATCATGCTTCACTTCAGATAGAAGAGCTTTGATCAGCCTTGTTTGGTAAGCTTCATAAGATAATTTCTGCATAGCATTCCTGCAGGAACAGTTATGGCAGGATTATATCAGACAAGGGATTGGATCTCGGAGAAGGCATACACAACCCCCAGTTCCCCTTGATTTAATGAAAAAGGAACAAAGGGGCACAACCTTTCCTGCTTCTATGATATAACTTTCCAGGAAGGGAGTTGGGCTGTCACATAGTATACTAAAGGAACAGTTTATTCTCTCTGGACCCATTTCAATGCCAACTCTTTTTACATTGGTGCTGACTAAAGACAGGAACAAGAAATTAAGCAGCTGGGAAGATACTTGGGCACTGTAGGGAGAGAAAAGGATTTTAAAGGTTTTTCAGTTCAGCCAGACAAATTCTGCATTTATGAGGGTTAGAAAATGTCACTTTCCACTGCCTCTGTGGGCATCCATCTGCCTCTTCATTCATTGTATGCTCAAGGTGGTTTGCAGTAAAAACTCAGGAATAAAAACACAACAGGTATAAAATGTAGGGATTATAAAAAGCTGAAAATAAATACAATAAAATGCATGAAATTGCAATAAAAACACATAGCGGAGGAATATTGCTCCTTCCCATCACCTTAAGGCCTGAAAGAAGAATGCCATCACATTTTTTCCCATATTTCTTTGTCTCAAATTCTTTTGGGACGTGTCTTTTTTTGGTTTCTTTTGTGTTCACATTTTGTGTAGCAATCCTTTTCATAAGCATTGCCTCCTTTGGGTTTCCTATTTTTGTTTCTCCACTAGTGCTTTCTGGCACTCCAAAAGCCCAAAAGAGTCTTTAAAACTACACCAAAAAAGCAGAGACAAGGCAACAGAGAATCATTCTATTCCAAAACAGGCAACAGTACATGACAAAGAAATCACCTGTGCAAAATATCCACCCAATTCAAAAAGCAGCAATACACCACAAAAATAGGAGGGGGGGGGGAAGAAATCAATATGAGTTCACTTCCATGCACTCATTACAACAGAGACTCTCTAGTTCCCGGTGGAACAGTAGAAAAAAAGGCAGCCAACCAGGCAAGTACTGGGAGCTTATCACACAGACACCCATTAACCAAAGCAATCAACAAAATACCAAGAACAAGTGGCAAATGTGCAGACAGCCGCAAAGTCCACTGCCTTCCCACACAGCTCCACAGGAACAAACAAGACAGCCCTCCCACAAAAATAGATACCTGTATCAGAATGACTACAGAATA